TTTGCCACTTGGTTCAACAGCTACAATGTGTACATTTTAATTGTTACTCCTAAGTTCAGGGCTACCTAAATATATGTGAGTCATACTGCCCAGTCTTCAAAACATTCCTAAGTTTTAAACCACTGACCGCATCAGAGTTTATGGCAACTTGCGTTCCCACGGGGAAGTTTATAACAAGGCTCCTTAAATCCAAAAAATTAAATCTGGCCAGTGATTTCTTTGTTTCTTATTCATGCAACTGATGCTAAATACAGGTTTGTTCTTATTCTTTATACAGACCCTTCAGTTACAAGCTGTTTTAGGATGGTTTGGGGGCTCTTTTAGTGAACCAACTTTAAAAGAAGAAAGCTTAGAAAGACAGCAGAGGCAAATCTGGCTTGGTTTTTCCTGTCAGTTTGGTTTTTAGTGGGTACTGTCTCCGTACTTGTAGTGATTTTTGAATCTGAATACACCAGGTGCTTAAACACTGAAGATTTACTTTTTTCACCATTGTGTGATTTCTGTGATGAACTGATCCTCCTAAAGGAGGATCTGTGAGTGGTACAAAGGCGAGAGGAAGTCTTAATCCTGCCAAACCTTTTTCTTCTTTTGATCCTCTGGAGCTGTAGAATCAGATAATATTCATTCATCTTTTGCTTTTAAAGTGGTGTCTTTTATCTTGTTCTGAGTCCTGCTTATGTAAGTATTTACAAAGATATGAGCAGGGTACAGAAATTGTTGGTTGCTCTCTTAAATTATAGCCTGCTGTGGGAGGGTGTATATGACACATGCCTTTTTGTGCATAAATAACTGGGAGCATTACTCTCAGAGGTAAACTCTCAAAAGACGTCTGTCGGCCTTGGATTTTAAATGGAACATCTGCTTACTGTACTTATGTGATTGTTCTCTTTCAGCTTTTTTTTTTCCATTTATGCCAGTATTTAAAAATGCATGTCAAGAAGGGGAAGAATTTATTCAAATAACTGTGACACAAATAATCATATCTCTAGATAATGAAGCATTCTGATGCAATTCCCCCCTAAATAATGATACATGCTAAATTGGTGAATACTTCTAAGCCTACAACACACAAGAATCCTAGAATTTCTGACAGATGCTTGAATAGGTGCTGGTCATGACTCAAAATGGCCTCTTTCAAATTAGTTTTTAGGCAGAATTACTTGAGTTCCACTCTTTACTTCTGGGTATTCAAATACCAAACAGATCTGGGATAATAAATCAGCTGGGATCTGTGCTGGAACTGTTTAAGAGAATATTTTAAAAGTCACTAGAAAGCTATTGGCTATATTTTGCTATTTTTTCCCAAAGTGTGAAGATTAAGCATGTGAGTTTAAAATGTTCTATCCAAGTCACTGTCAATTAGGGTCGTTCACAAGACTGGAGTCAATTCTCAACTCAGGCAGTGATACTCCAAATACTCTACATCTGTAATATGGACGGGGTAGAGGATGTAATTCTGTTTAAATCAGGTTCATTCATATACAATTTGATTTCCTATTACAAGCTGACATTGCTGGCAGTGTTAATTATAATGTGTGTAATTTAAACCTAGAAAGCAGGAGTGGGATGGCACAGATTAAATGGTTTATCTGCCACCAGGTCATTTATAGAGGAGCCAAATGGTGTTATTCTGGATTCTACTCATAGAGAAGGCCTTATCAGAGTGAGAAAGCAGTGCACACCAAGGTTAAAAACTCAAGCAGATTGCAGAATACACCATTCTGGAAAATGGTACCTACCATTGTGTCTAGCACATAGGAAGCCTTTTCAAGAATAATAGTCAACTCTGAGATTTGCAAGTGGGAATAAATGAATTATTGTGATGAAATAAGTTTCGCATGTGCATTTGCTGCTTTTATTGATATTAAACATTTAATTCTATTATTTTATACATATTTATATTTTTCAGTTGTGTCCCCCCCACAAAAAAAAGCCTCCACACTTCATTTGAATGCAAATTTATGGGCTATTTCAGACTGTGCAATCAATCCTTAGGGGGCTTGAAAGTGCACTGAGTTTTATCTTGCCTTTTGTGGGTCACTGAAAACATATTGTAATAATTTCTTCTTTGGTTATTATGTTTCATGACAGGAGTAAAGTGGCAGTTACGTTTTTCTCAGTAAGTGTTGGGAGGGAAAGATCCATTTGTCTGATTGTCAGGGGTGGTGCGGTGTCAGGAGGGGGTGTCGTGACGAGGAAAACCGAGGAGGGAGGGAGGCGATGGTTCTGAAAGGCATGGGACAGTGTGTAAATGAACAATGAATCCAACTGGAAGAGTCAAATATCTAAGACGCCTGTTAGACTGGAAAAAGGAGGGACTTAAAGCAGATACGAAAAAAGTATGCAATGAAACAGGATGTCTAAAACTATGATATTCTTAAAATTAATATAAAATATTGAATATAATATAAATATTACCTTTGAAATATTATCCCAGTTGGCAAGTGATTGAGATTACAGTTTGATTATAACTGGATAGTTCTCCTTGGGGAAAGGGCTCAGGGATGAGGACACATGATGGTGTATTCTTATTCTAGAAACCCACATGAGGTCAGGGACCTGCATTTCCCTTGCTTGCAAAATAAGTCATCTGAACACTCCCTTTGTTTTGTGATTCCTCATTTGCACCATCAGCTAGAATCTGAAGACTTCCATGCTGCATGAAATCTTACACACGGAATCTTGGGTGTGCGTCTCCAAATTTGTCCCCTTCTCTACTATTTCTTTTGACGCAGTTTTAATACATCCCTGCTTTGCCTCTGACTTTTCCTTTGACTGTAACAATTATCTTTGTCCACCCTTTAAGATTTTCCCTACCAAACCCTCCTTTTGCAGCAACATTCTGTCAGATTATTTGGAAGTGAAAGGTAGACTTCGTTAGAGACATTTCTCAAATGAACTGTATTATACATACAAGAGGCATGGGAAGGATTTCCAGGGAGAATCTGGTCAGAATCTCAAGGGTTATTAACAGCTCTAAGTTGTACAATGTTAATCTGTAGGATTAGAGAATTGTGTGGCCTGAATTAGTGAAGAAAAAGCTTATGCCATATTTATGAGGTCCCAACATATATATATATATATATATATATATTTAATACAAACATATTTACTTCAAGGAAGTATCTCAGTGCTTTCTAAGTGTGAAATTATAATGATATTATTGGGTAGTTTTCATTGTTCAATTAATTTATAAGTTAAAGGAAAGAAATTATAGACTGGCAGAAGAATGGTGACTATTTTGGCAGCCATCCAGGATAGGGAATAATGAGCAAAATGGTAATGTTTGGCAGAAGAAAATGATAAAGGAATTAGCAGTTGTCTTCCATTATTCGAGTGGATGCCCTTGTAAAGACTGTGAATTTGTTCAGGTGGTTTCAGAGCCATGGGGATCGCTAGCTGGAAGGTTTCACAGTTAGACCTGTTTCCTACTGGTAGGAGTCTTCTCTTGCTGGAGAGGTGGGGGCCTTTCCAGTTTTGAAGGTTTCAAGTAGAGGCGGGTGGCTTTGTCTCCCATAAAACATAAAAGAATTCTATGGCCAAGAGGTAAGGTGAAATCCTTATCTCTGAAATCCCCACCGACTCTATTATGGTAAATGGTAGGGATGATTGTAGTAAATGATGTTTGGGCGTAGTTGTTATGTTCTTTGAAAAGTCTGGAATAAATGCTAAGGAACCAAATTACTAAGTGGAATAGTTACGTATATTCTTAAAACACGGTATAGATGTGCATCTTGATTGCCTGTGGTAGTTTTCATAGTGCAGTTTAATATTTGCCTTTTATTTTTGCTTCCCTTTTCCTTTTCTTTTTCTTTCCCTTCCACTCTCTTTCCATTACCTTCTTTCCCACCCCCTCCCATCTTTTCCAGGCCTCTCTTTACCCCTCTCCTCCTCTTCCCTTCCCTCCTATAATCCATCCATTTCATTCCTTCCTTCTTTCCTCCTTCCCTCCCTGTCTCCCTCCTTCCCTCCCTTCGTCTGTCTTGTTTATTAAAGATTCCCGTTACTAGACATCCTCCTCAGCCCAAATTTACAGAATATAAACCATGCTTATACTACTGGTTTTTTATATGCTTCCTTTCATCCAGATTCACCAACTTCAGACGGTGGCTGGTTTGGTTAATACTGCATGGGTGTAAACAAAATGGTCTAAGGGCATGTCTGCCCTCAGCTGATAGGTGAAGTTGTTCAAGGCCGGCATTTGTCACACTGGCAGGGATATTTGTTTCATGCCCCTTAGACAAAAACATGCTCGGTTTAGAGGCCTTGGACTTTACATCACCTCCAAGATCGTTAGTGTGGAATCTTTGAAGGCCCATAAAAAGTTGAGAAATCATTAAAAATAAAGCTATTCAATGTTGTGAATCTTGGTCCTTTAATCTAATGAAATAAAAGACTTAAAATTCCATTGCTTCTATATGGTTATTTCCCAGGGTGCAATGTATACTTAGTGTAAAAGGCACGTGTATCTCAGTTATACTGAACATGCTCAGAAACAGATAATCATTGAAATAACTGGGATCCAAGCAATCACAGATTTTTACATTAAGCTCAGGAATATGGAATACCGTACATTATATTTCCAAGTGACTCCCTCATTTTGCAATTAAGTTCATAGGTCTACAAAGTAATACTGTGTTCTCAGCTTCTTAACAATTAATATATTTGTTTCTATTCACATTTTATTTGTAGGAAGAATCGTAATTTTTAGATGACAACAGTTATTCAAGATTTCCTACTTCTATTTTTTACTTTCAGGAAGAGGGGGTTTAAGTCCCTGTTACTTGGGAGGCTGATGCAAGAGGTTTGCTTGAGTCTAAGATTTGAGGTTGCTATGAGCCATGATGTCATGGCACATTCTACCATACCAAGAGTGACAACGTGAGACTCTGTGTCAAAAGAAAAAGGAGAGGGTTTTGTATTATCTAACTGTGTGTACAGTTATTCTGAGGACAGTATATGGCATGACTGGCTCATTGATTATTTTGTTATTTTCCTAGGTGAAGACCCAGAAGCAAGAAGAATGCGAACAGTGAAAAACATAGCGGACTTGAGACAGAATTTAGAAGAGACAATGTCCAGTCTCCGTGGGACGCAGATAAGCCACAGGTTTTTTTCTCGGTTCTGCATATCTTTTGGCCAATAAGGGAAAAAAAGATTACAGGGTGGTGCCTGTGGCTTAAGGAGTAGGGCTCTGGTCCCACATACCGGAGGTGGTGGATTCAAACCTGGCCCTGGCCAAAAAGTAAACAAAAAATACAATCAAGTGCTTAACTTTTCTTACAAGGATAGAGAAGTGATTTCAGATATCCCTACTATGTTCTCACTTAAATCCACATGATTAAATTCTCAGCATACACCTATCTCTAACTCATTCTCCTATCAATCTTTTTTTCAGCGTAATTTTTAATTCAAACAAATAGTTATTGCAACTACCGTCATCCCTCCTGGGGGGATTTTCATGCTCATAGTGGTAGAACTTGTAAATGAAAGGTAACTAGAGAGGGGTAGTTGGGAGACACAATTATAGTTAACTTCCAGAATAAGTGGAAAGGTTACAGGTTTGCTGGGAATGTGAAACATAATTTTGTTTTATCCAAAATGTAATGGTGGCTTTTCTTTTGAAAACAAACAAATAAAAGAGAACTGTGAATAAATACCCTTTCTCATCTTTCAACATCTACAATGTTCATATGAATCTCAAAATGAATATATAATTTGGCTTTCCTGAAAATGACATACTTCAAAGAAATAATCATAAACTCTAGAATTTTCTGTCTTCATTCATTCTTGGTTGATGGCCCCAAGTGAACTGGAGTAGTTATTTTTCAATTTTTTTTGACAGTACCCTGGAGACAACATTTGACAGCACTGTGACGACGGAAGTGAATGGGAGGACCATCCCCAACCTTACCAGTCGCCCCACTCCCATGACCTGGAGGCTGGGCCAGGCGTGTCCTCGACTTCAGGCAGGAGATGCCCCCTCCCTGGGTGCTGGCTACTCTCGCAGTGGTACTGGTCGGTTCATCCACACGGACCCCTCGAGATTCATGTACACAACTCCTCTCCGAAGGGCGGCGGTCTCTCGGCTGGGAAACATGTCTCAGATTGACATGAGCGAGAAGGCAGGCAGTGAGCTGGACATGTCTTCTGAAGTTGATGTCGGTGGATATATGAGTGATGGCGATATCCTTGGGAAAAGTCTTAGGGCTGATGACATCAACAGCGGGTAAGTGGCCCTGGTCTCTAACGGTGTTGTGTGAAGAAGGGACGTGGCCTAGGGACTGTGTTCACTGTAGACAGGAGCTGACTCATAAAATCGTGAGAAAATGTGAGAAATCTGAGGTCATTTGGGGGCATTTCAAGGCCTTTACTCATTCATGGGACGTAAACATGTCCAAGATTTCTATAAATTCAATATAAGCCAGTAAAGTTCTGTTGTTAAGGGAAACACATGTGGCCTGTGTTTTTCAGAGTGAATTCCACTTACTTCTTGAGTAACAGATTTTGTAGGGAAGGACGTGGGAAGGAGACAGGAGGAGTTCTGCTGAGCTGCTTGATTTTTTTTTTTTCTTTTTTTTGCTTCTCAGAAGCTGCTTGTAGCTGCTTTAAGGAACAAACATTTTCCAGCATTCTTCGGTTATGCACCTCCAATTTAACTCAAGGGAAAAATCACTCTCGAGTTGGAAGTTTCAGTCTATTTATTCTCTTCTGCTGGTATCAATTTTTCTTTTAAGTCTTAGCCCCTGTTTTCCATCTGCTTCCTATTACACTGCAAAAAAAAAAAGTTGGAATGATAAAACTTGTAGGGCATTTTGGCAATTTTGAATATTTGGTTTAATCAGAGGATGAGCTATGATAGAAGCAATAGGACATTCTGTTAGTTATCGTAATAGCCATTTGGAGCACTTTCTGTTACCTACTATATTCTTTTTTTTTTTTTTAAGTTTTTGGCTGGGGCTGGGTTTCAACCTGCCACCTCTGGCATATGGGGCCAGCACCCTAATCCCTTGAGCCACAGGCACTGCCCTACCTACTATATTCTTTAAAAAATGTTTTAAAGTGATTATTTCATTTAACTTTCCACCACCAGGAACCCTTATGAGAGAGGCATTTGTACTATCTGTGTTTTACGGTGAGCAAACTGTGAATTGGCCCCAACT